TTATGACATTTATCAAGAGTATGCCCAAACATCTTACATGCCCAAACCCAAACATCTTACAATGAGAACAATAAGGAAATCTATGCTCCATGACAATTTGTTGCCAATATCTATTATGCGTTGTGCCCAACCATAGTTCAGTAACATCAGACAAAGTAATATCTTTTTCTACAAGTATTCTGGCCACAGAAGGTCTGACAAAGTTGAAAGTGGGTAGATCTAGTTTCATAGGGTCTTCAAGTATGATACCAATAGAGTAAAGAACCTGCTGGTGAAAAAAGTGCAGCTTGAGACCAGATATACTAAACCATATCTGTACAGTAGGAGGTATATGATTGGGGTCAAAATCAGGAGACTACTTAAGTAGCTTCATTGATTTACCAGCAATATTAAGATATTTTTTGGAGAAGATTCGAGTGTAGTCTTCAGGTACGGTAAACTGAATCAATACATGTCTCCCATCCAAGAGCCCCACTTTACACTTTCCTGCTAATTTGAGATCATCAAAACTTTTCCTGATAACTTCCATAGGTGGGTGTTCCCACTGAAATTTCTCAATGAGAGCAAACTTGAATTTGTCAGTATTTGTCAGTAAGGGTTGAAATTTCTGACTCAGAGAAAAAAAATGTTGTCTTATCACTCTTTCTGTTTGCATTCTGAATAAAGAGGCAGCCACCTGTACCATAACGATTCTCCTTATAACTTGAGGGGAAAACAACTAATGAAAATTTTTATAATGAGAAGTTAATGAAAATTTTTATAAAGCAGAATAATGAAAATTTTTAGCTAATTAAAATAATTTAAATTATTAAATTTGTAATAACATTATCAATAAAATTGAATATGAATATAATGTTTATTTTATACAATTTCATTTTAAAAGATTGAACGTCAAGAACAAGTAGATTGTCTATCAAAATGGTAAATAATTCTATTCTTAAATTATAGTATCATTTTAGTGTATTTTCTAAGCTAGTTATATGAGTTGTTTTTTTTTTTGTATGATTAATGGAATTTATTTTCCTATTTTTAAATTTTATTGGTCATTTGATGTGAACGCTTATAATCTCATATTATAAAATATTTAATGCAATAGTATTATTGTGAATAATATGATATGAATAGATTGATTTGTGCAAGACCGACTATGATGAAGTCGCCAATTTATGATACTAGTGGGAAAATACTACGATACTTATGTATATGAAAAAAAGATATTGATATTGAAGTATCTTAAGTGGTATAATTTTTTGATGTTGCTCTTGTGACGGTTGTACACATATAAAATAATTTTGGTATGCTATTGATATAAGATTAATTAAATAACATCTTAAATATTTATATTGATTTATTAAAAAATTTAATTGGTATGCCTATTCTTTTCTTTTTTCATTATTTTTCTATAGTTTAAGAGTAAATATTTACCGACTTGTTTAGTTCACTGTTATTTTTAAACTAGATTTTTAGATTAATTTAATTGATTAAAAATGAGCGATAGAAGAAAAAATATTTATAGGAGAAGCAGACAAACAGTGATGAGGTAAATTTAATTATACTGTTTTAATTTAATTTGATTAATGACTCTTTAATTTGTTAATAATTAGCTATACAATATAAATATAAGAAAAAATTAATTCTCACTGTTCGACCGTCTGTTTCAATTTTGATTAATTTCATGTCCCAGGCTAGATTGTGACAACCGCCTAGTTTGATTTACCAGTGAAAAGAAACAAATAATTGAAGAAGAGAAAATGATGAGTCAGAAGTTGAAGTGAAAGTGAGGAGACGGGCAACTAAATAGAGCAGGAGAGGAAGCGAGAGGGGTTGGGAAGTTGAAGATGTGAATTTGCTTATATAAGTTGTAGATGACTTACCTGGTGGGTCGAAGAGCGAGTGCAAGAGAGGACAACTGCAAATTAGGCATCCCCGTAGCCAAAGTTAACAACGACGTCTCTGTTAAGCGGAGAGAGAGGCGGCGGCGCCAAGTGGTCACTCCACTATGTCGAGTCGTGACTGAAGGAAGGTGAACGTCGTGACTTTGTAGGGAGGGAGCCAAAACTTGAGTCGTGCAATTCTCTTCTTGTGTACTAAGAGGAAGAACGGAGAAGAAGAGCTGAGCTAGTGTGATAGGGAGCCAAAGCCAGAGGAGCTTGTACACAGTGGATCATAATCGTTTTTGCGCGTGGGTTAGGGGTCAACCGAGGAAGGTAAAGTTTACTTAAGTAGCCCGAACTCTCAGTGAGCCTAGGTCTAGCCCAAATTGGGCATAGCCCTTCTGATTTGGGTTAGACCTAGACCAAAATTGATCGGGCTAATTCCAATTTGGTCTAGACCTCTGCTCACTAAGGATGATTTTATAATTAAATAGGATAATTGTTATATAAACCTTTCAAAGTTTCATTGGACTAGGACACCTAAGCTAATTTTCAAATTTAAGGGACAAATTTGGGCTAAAATGCAAAATTTTAAATTTCCATCGTAAATTGTCATTTTAAGGCGTGGGGATATTGCCCTAAATTTTCTTTTTGATTTCCATCTTAAATTGCAATTTGTTGAGTTTTACTTCATTTTTTTAATTATTTTTCAAAATAATTATGATCTTGGTAGAAAATCAGTCATTTTAATGTTAGGAAAGTCCAAGAAATGTCTCCTAGGATGGAAAGAAAAATCCCTGAAAATTTCATAGTTTTCTATCTTATATTTAATAGTTAAAATACTTCAGAGATTATTTGTTTAATTAAAAATTAATTATGAGTCAAATTTTTTTATTTTTATTATTTTCCCTCAATTTCCTTAGTCTGTGTGTATATATATATATATATGTATATATATATATATATATGTGATTTTTATTTGAGATATGAAATTTTTAAAGTTTTATTTAATTTTCTAGATTTAATTAATTCAGAAAAAACCGAATTTGTCACTTAAGTGAGTTAGCACTGATGCGATCCTCGGACTCTATGAACTCCCTCGCGACGCTGTGTGATTGGGTGCAATTTCCATGCAAGCGCTGAGGTGGCCCGCAAATTTGTGTTCCCCCTCGCGGTTTGGTGGTCCGGTTCGTTCTCCGCCGTCCGTTTCTAATACATGGAAACCGACGACATCGGTTCATTGTTCCCATGGGACAGAGAATCGAGAGCCGTTCACGATCAAAGCCTAAGATCTTAGGCCTAAACTTAACCAAATGGCATGGTGTTTGTTCCTATAGCTTCATCTAAGTGAGACGAACCTATCTATACAGTTACGTGGGCATGCATTGTTCGTTTCTTTCATAAAAGGCCAAACAGAGGCTCAATTCTTAAAGTTTAAATTCATACATTTTCCTAAGCGGTGAGACTTCAATTGGGCCTGACAGAGAGTGTCACTTTGATGCCACACACACCTCCTCCTCGCTTTAATTCGCCTTGAAATTGGCTCAAGCTATGAGCTAGACCAAATGGTGGCCGGGTTGGTGTTGGAGTGGGTTAGAGGGTGCGGGAAACTCAAATTTTGATTGAGGGAGATGTCGTGAGGTCTTGTGAAGTGTTGGAGTGGGTTGGAGGGTGCGGAATTTTGATTGAGGGAGATGTCGTGAGGTCTTGTGAAGCTTATCGAAGAGTTAGATTAAAGTTTTGGTCAGGTTGGTGTTGAGGCCGAAAAGTGCCCATGGATTTCATAACGTCTATAAAGAGATTTCTAAGGTTTCTTTTTTTGGTTCATGGGTGACCTAGGGCATACCCTACCTATAAGGGTTCAAGCTCTAAACCAACTCAACCAAGGGTTGTTGGTTTGGGCTTAACCTCATGTGGCCCAAGTGAACATAGCCTTGGTTTCGGGTTCCATTAGGTGAGTACTTCCTTTTGTCTTTTAGGGAAGCTACTAGGGCAACCCTAAGGTTAAGTTTAGGTTCCCACAGAGAGTGGGAACACCCTCACAAAAGTGAGGTCAATATATACAATGATTGTATGTACACGATTGATTATTATTGAGTCATCTTTTTATGGTACTAGTGGGGGAATACTAAAGTTCCCATGCACATATATGAAAATTGATATTGATATTGAAGTACCTTAAGTGGTACAATTTTAAGACGGTGATTTTGTGATAGTTGTATAAATATATAATGATATTGAAATGTTTTTGATATAAGATTCATTGAATAGTATAGTAAAGTTTTATATTGATTCATGATAGAAATTTAATTGACATGCATATTATTTTCTTGTTTCATTGAGTATACGTATTTACTGACTTGTTTAGCTCACTGTTATTTTTAACTTAACTTTTTAAGTTTGTTTAATTGGTTAAAAGATGAGCGATAGATTAAAAAATGTTTATAGGAGATGCAGACAGCAGTAACAAAATAAACTTAAATATAGTGTTTTAATTTAATTTGATTAGTAATTCTTTTATTTATATTAGATAGTTATGGAAAATGATTATATAAAAAATTTGATTCTCACTGTCCAACCGTCTTTTCCCGTTTTGATTAATTTCAAGCCCTGAGCCGGGTTGTGACAAAATCAATCTGAAAACCTTATAAGGAAGTGTGGAAGAAGGCTATTCATATTCAAGATTGGTAAAAGATTTATAATATAGTGCAATGAAGGGATAGATTTTAAAGAGGTCATTTATGATAAAGGTGCGTAATGAGTTTCTTATTAGCATCAAATTAATATTTTATTAGTTGTATTTCAAATTGATCATAGTGAACTTGCAATATGATTTTAAAATTAATATTTCATTTATGTTTTGTATTTTGAATGGTTTATTTGCACTACTAGGAATGAAAGCAAGCATGTTGATAATATGATTTCTAATTTCTCCTGTTTTATTTACATTAAAAGTTTTGTGTTTAAGATGTTGAAGTTTGACAGGTTTAAGAAAGCTGTCAATAATAATGTGCTGAAGGTTTTTCATAAATTCAATATTACTCTTGTGAAAAATAAACTAGTGATTAATTTAATTTTGTGGAAAAAACCAGTTCGAGGCATACTGAAGTTTAATACTGATGGCAGTTGGAATCAATCAGCTGCTGGAATTGGCAGTATTTGCAGAAATTATTCTGGTAAATGTATTTTCTGGTTTTCTGCTCCTGTTTTAGTCTCATCTCCTATTATAGCAGAGGCTGAAGTTGTTATTGTTGCATTAGAAATTGTGGTTAGTTGTGGCTGGTATTATATCATTATTGAAATGAATTCACTTGATTTGTGGAATTATTGTTGTAGGAGAAGAGATTACCCGTGGATTCTTATTATTCAACTAAAAAAAATTTTCTCTTATGAATTTAGTGCAGTTTAGTGGTCATTTATGCAACGCGAAAGCAATCAATGTGCTAATTGGGCTGCGAGAAAAGGCTTGGAGTCCCAAAGTTTCAATTTTACTAATAAGGTTCTGTTGGAACTTTCTCGTTTGTTTAAAAGGGATAGTTTAAATATTCTCTTTATTCGAATTAATATTTTATTTTAGTTAGTTTTTTGTTTGTTGTGTGAGTTGTACTGTGGCCAATGGTTCTTAGGCTTTTCATTTCTTGCGTGAGTTTAGTGTTGGGGGGTTTTAGTAGAACTGTTGACCACCATCTTGTAATGATTTGTTTTGATGAATAAAATTTCCTACGTGATTACTTAAAGAATGTTTTGTATTTTGAATGTTTGAAAGACGTCTCACAAATGTGAAGATGATAATTGACATATGAAAGTATATTTAAATGATTTTAAATTAATATGAAATGATAAGGTATAACTCAATCAGGATTTTCCCTCAGTTGGTATATGCAGAAGATGCGATGTACTCGTGCATGATAAAATAAATGAAAATGGTAAAAATATATCTTCAAGTGCAAAATTTGAGGTACTTGCATGTATAATCTTAAGAATACATTCAGGTATGTCGGTAATTTTGATATGACTTTTTTAAATTAAAAAAGATAAATTCTTAAATTGAAACGAGAAATGTTAAATTTAAGCAAAAAGATTACAGTTTGATTAAGTAATGAACTACTTTTTTTTAGTAATTCATGCATAGCAGTTAGAGGTATGCATTTGAGTTTAAAGGCCTTCGTTTGAGTAGATCTAAAATTGAATATGTGGAATGTAATTTTAGTAGTGACAGATCTAATTGCAGAGTTGTAACTATGAGCGATCAAATCATTAAAAGATGTGAATGTCTTAGATATCTCGGATCCACTGTTCAAAATGACGGTGATATAAATGTGGATGTTATTAGTAGATTCACGTTGTGTTTTTGAAGTGGAGGAATGCATTGGACCTATTGTGTGATAGAAAAGTATCCCTCAGACTGAAAAGGAAAATTTTATAAGATGGTGGTGAGACTTGCAATGCTTCATGACGCAGAATGCTGTCCTTTAAAGAGAAACATTAAACTAAGTTAATTGCTTCTAAAATAAAAATACTTAGGTGGATGAGTGGTTTGACACTTAGAGACAAAATGCTAAACATATGTATTCATGAAAGGGTTGGTGTAGCTCTAGTGGCAGACAAGATTAGAGAGATTCGTCTTGATGGTTTGGTCACATTAAATGTCGGCCATCTGATGATCTGGTTAGGAGAGTAGATGTTTTAAATCGACTTATGTTAAGAAAAGCAAATGTAGACCTAAAGAGACTTGGGCTTATTGTGTAAAAAATGATCTTAATTTCTTAAAATTAAATGGAAATATGACACTCAATAGGACACAATGGAGAAGAAGGATTCATGTAGTCGACCCAACTTAGTGGGATAAAGGCTTATTGTTGTTGTTGTTGAAGTTTGGGCTGCCAACATATGCCAGATCCAATGAATTAGGGTTGCTATTTTCCAACATAAAGTGGTGATAAGTTAGTTACTAGTTGTCAATCCAAACTTTAATAGTGCTAAACCTGACCCAATTTAAAGCCTTCTTAGGTCAATTTCTATTCATGACTGATTTTTGTATTGAAGTTATTTTATTAGGCATGTATCAATTTTCTTTTTGCATAAAAGAAGTTTAGACTATAACATTTGATAGGATTTGATAGGATTTCATTTGATTTTAAATATTTTTTGACCCATTGTAACCCTATTTTTATAATAGGGATCTATAATATTTAATTATTAATTGATTAAGTGAATTTCGTTTACCACAAAAATGTTCTTGATTTCCATCAATTATTGAACTTTTTTCTTATACAGTGCCTTTCCTATGAAATAGATGCTTTAAGTTTTGTACTTTCAGTTGTTTCCCCATATGTGATGATTGTTTTCCCTTACTTTGCTTTAGTGTTGGAGACAAAAAAAGGCCAGATAGATAATATTTGCTTGATTTTTATCAAAGGGAGGATCAATCTAAAAGTAATTTCTTTAGGTTTTTGTTCAGCTTTCTTTTTTCTTCTCATTTGCAATTTTTTTTGCATGCTCGTATTTTAATATTGTTCATGACCTGCGGAAATGCTTTTATTTGTTTTGAAGACGTATTCTTCTTGGGTTCTTATTGCGTTGCTCCAACAAATAAATTATGCCCTTTCTCGTTAATTTACCTTGTTGTAGTCTGTTTACATGTGGCTCATGGATGCATCATACTGGTTGTCTTGAGTAATAAGTTAGAAATGGCCGCGATCATTCTTATTACTTGTAGATTCTTTGAAGTCCTTGCTTTGTAACAGTTAATTTTTCATATCTCCACATAAACCAGGTCACAGGATGATGTGCAGAAGATCATTATTGCATGTAACAAGTACAAGGTATCATTTCCTTTTAGTTTAGTCCTTCATACATACTAATGTGGTGTTCCACAATCATTATCCTAGTCTCGATCGTTTTGGTTTGTTTTATTAATACTTATTTTACAAGTTAAGTATTTAATCAGGTATGAAAACTATAACATGAATAACATACTATTAAATCCATTTTGCGCTATTTAATTTTGATTTTTCTTTTTTTCGTTACAATTTCTTTTTCAAAATTCTGTTATATTTGAATTATAATGGAATGCATTCTGGGAATATTTCAGGTTTAGTTTTTGGATTATCCCAACGATCAGGTTGATTTCGTGAATCTCAATCTTCAAGCACTTTATCAATTATATGAAAAACAGTAAAACTGTAAGAAAATGTCTTTCGATCCATGTTGTGATTGAATTTTTTTTTTGAACTTTTTATTATATTATGAATATATTGGCATGGGTTATATGCATGCCAAATGGTAGCACATTGTTAGAAGCCTTCAACGAAGAAGTACTTCACAATCATCATTATCCTTATCCTAAGTATTTTGGGGTTCAATTACTTTATCTTGTATGAAAGTTTTAACATACAAATTTTCAAGTATGTATGGTTTATTATACTTTGATTTATTTTTTTTTCATATTTTTATTTCTTTTGAAATTTTGATTATCTTAGGAATATATGGGAATGCATTAGGGTATGTTTTGGGTTTAGTGTTCAGGATTATTCCAACTATTTTAGATTGGTTTTATGAATCTCATTTTCCAAATATTGAAGAACTTACCAATGATGAAAATTATAACATGATGAAAATGTTCTTTAACCCATGCTGTGATCTAAAATATGGATTGCCCCCCAATTTTATGTGTGTTTTAAACTTTTATATTAGGAACATAATGGAATGCATCATGGGCTTGGCGAATGGTAGCAAATTGTTTGCAACCGAAAAGTATGGTTCAATCAACGCTATCTGTATTTCAATTACATGTAGTCGGATTTATGAATACTCATTCGACAAGTAGTTTTTTTGTTCTGAATACTAACATGAACATGTTCTTCAATCATTATTGCGTTCTTAAATTTTAATCCTTTTTTGAAAATTTTGAAGTTTTCTTGAACATTTGATTGTATTAGGAATATAGTTACATTTTTGGGTTGGGGTTTAGGATTTTTCCAACTCTTTTGCGTTCATTTTATTCATGTTATTCTGCAAGTACCATATCATTTATGAAAACTCTTAACATGAAGAAAATATTCTTCAATTCATGTTGTGATCTTAAACATGGATTTTTCCTTGGGGCTTGTTTGGGATTAATTTTGTTTTTTGTTTTGTTTTTTGATTTTTTTAAAAATTTTAAGAACATTTTTGTTTAATGTGTTTTTAATATGTTTTTATTTCTTATTTCTAAAAACAAATAAATATGTTTTTATAAAGAGTCAAAAAAAACTTGAGTGTTTTAAAAAATAACTATATCTTAATCAAACATGTCAAACATGTTTTGTTTCAAATTTAAACTAAACTAAACAAAATAAGAATAAAAAAATAAAAGTGGTCCCGAACAGCCCCTTAGATTTTGAATTATTTTCTGAACAAGTGATTATATGTGATTTATATTGGTTTGTATTATGGGTGTGATAGGCAAAGAGTCAATAAGTTATGAAATCAAATGATTGTTTCTTTGTTTTACGATGATTAGTGTTTATTTCAAAATACTGGGAAGGGGAGTAGATGAATGTTGAAGGGGTTGAATAGCCACTTTATATGTAAAGTGTCTGCTTTCTGATGCTGTTTATAAATATGACCTTTAATTGACTCCATTAAAAAGAATTTAGGTTGTCTTCCATCTTTGGATAGATTTAGATCTGGTTTTGTTTTTGTACGCCAACCAAATCAGCATTCTGGAATGATAAATTTTATTTAAAGTCATTTGTCTTTTATTGTTGCATTGTGTCTGATGGCATTCTCATTTATATCATACATTAGATGGATTAGGCTGCATAAAATACTTTTATAGTAATTTATTATTTTTTAATGCAGGTTCCCATTGTGCCTTATGGTGGAGCTACATCAATTGAAGGCCACACTTTAGCTACTAATGGAGGCGTGTGCATTGATATGTCAATGATGAAGGTATGTGCAAATTTCCTTGATATAAATGCATGACATGCTGAGCTGAAACATGTAAATATAACATGTATGCTGTGCCTTAAAGCTCGCGGCCCAGAACATTTTGGACACTCTTCATGCAATTATCTGCGTTATAGAAAGATGTGCACAGCTTGGACTTGTTCTCATTTCCATGCTACTCTAAAATCACTTTCCCATTAAATCCCCCTTCTAAACACCCATGAGGAGCCCTAAAATGGGATCATAAATTGAGAAGTAGAGTTGGTGAGAGGGTATTAGCATGAATAGAGTAGTGTGGATCTGGGTTTGTGATAAGCAATCAAAAAGTGAAGTTAAGTGGAAAGAAAGTGTTTAGAAGGTGAGGAAGTGGATGGGTGGAAATATTTTGTTGTGGAGAATTGTTTAATTTTTTGGGATGTTAAGAATGGGATTGGTGAAATTGTTCAAGTGGAGGTTGTGTATTTTGAAAAAATAGAAGCGTGTTAAGAGAAATGTAATAGTTCAGAATAGAAACATTTGAGAGTTAGTGCTTCTTGTCTTCCCATTTATTCTTTTCTTTATTATTTTCTATTTATAGAACAGTATTGCAGGTCATTTTTTAAAAGAGAAATAAAAAACATGTATCCATAATATGAAAGATCAGCTGCTCTTAAAACTGCTTTTTTTGTGTCAAAATTAGCCATTGTGGAAAATGTAAAATATTTAGAGGATTTTGTTAGCTTTCAATTGACATGAATTGCATCATTTTTATATAAAATGAGTAAGTGATGATCAAATTTTTGATTGAGAGTTAAAATCGGTGAATTTGATTCTTTTTTTTCACTTCACTCAACAATTACAACTTATTGGTTTGGAATTGAATCGAGCGGAAAACATAAAAGTTGTAGATGATTTTGTTAGCTTTTCAATGATAAAAAAATCGTACAAATCTGTCTAACAAAGAGTGGCTGAACCTAAAATAATGGGAAGTTGTCTTTATTTGGATTCAGATTTTCTGCATCTCATTATGCACAAAAACTTTTAGTTTTTTTGCACGGTCGAGAGCTCCGCTAGGTCTTCCAACAACGATTTCGGTTGCAATTGATTCTATTGCTGGAAGGAGAAGATCTCGCATCGTTCACCCTCGCTCCGACGTCTTCATCTACGTCGGCGTCGACGTTCGCACTCCCTGTTGCGGCTCGCGTCGCGATATCTCCACTGCTCGCGTCGTCTTCCTTTGTCGCTATTGTTCCTCTGCTCAACGTCGAGGTTCGCACCTGCTTTGCTCGACGTCGTCGTCTTCCACGCATTTGTCGCTCGCAGTTGTCGTCTGCGCCCGATTCTTCTGTTTCGGCGCTGCTCCTATTTCTGCGCCCGACAGCTCCTCTGCCTTTCAGCAACCTCGTAGCACTTTAACGCCGACAGCCTCTGATGGCGTTTCCTTCTTCTTTGGTTGAGTCGGACAAAGTCTCCTTTACCCGCGTGATGGGTAACCCACAGGAGGAGTATGCAGTGATATTCCCTTCAAGTTATAAAGAATGTCGTGAGAGTACAGATGATTGTTCTTTTATTAAGAAGGGAAGTAAGAAAGGAGAAAAAAAAGCAATCTTTTTCTCTGAATCAGAAATTTATATCCTGACAGAAAAAATTCAAGTTTGCTCTTATTGGCAAATTTCAGTGGGGACACCCTCCTATGAATTTTATCAAAAAGAGTGTTGATGATCTTAGGCTAGTAGACAAGTGGAAAGTGAGACTCATGAATGAGAGACATGTGTTGATCCAACTAACAGTGGCCGAAGACTACACTAGAATTTTCTCCAAGAAATATTTTAATATTGAAGGCAAATCAATGAAATTACTCAAGCGGTCTCCTAATTTTGACTCAGCATGAAACTCCCACTATACCGGTATGGTTTAATTTATCTGATCTCAAGGTTCTCTACTCTATTGGGGCCATCGTTGGGGATCTTTTGAAACTAGATCTACCTACTTTCAACCTAATCAGTACTCGGTGACCGGAATACTTGTGGAAAGAGATATTACTTTACCTGATGTTACTGAAGTCTGGCTGGGCACAACCCATAATGGTTATTGACAACAAATCATCATGGAACACAAACCCCCATACTGTACCCACTGTAAGATGTTTGGTCATATCATTGTTAAATGCCACATGCTTCATCCTATTTTGAAATCTAAGGTTCAAGTGAATAAGGAGGGGTCAAACCCCACTTCTGTGGACATTTTAGTTCCACCTGAGGAGAATACTACCAGACAAGAGGTGTCTGTTGCCCTTGAGGACCCCCCCATGACACTGTTGTTATTGATACTGCGAGTGATGTGATGCTGACACCTACAAACTCCATAGAAAACAATACTGATGAACCATTACCTATAAATGATAGTGTTCAGACTGATAATCAGGAGAGCCTCACAGCTCCACTTCAAGAAGTATCCGGTGTAGAGACAACTCATGCTTCACATATTCTAGAACCTATTGTGGGTACTACTGTTGGTATTCCTTTTGCTTCAGATCTACCCCATTAGACTGATTCTTCGGAGGAGGAATGACAAGTTTACACTTCCAAGAGGAAGAAGAAGAATGGAGTTCTACTAGAGCTCAGGAGTCTTATGGATGATACTTTGGTTATTACGGGTAATGGTCAGCATCTTACCAATCTGCTAGCTGGATCCCTACCGAGAACTAGAGCCAGATGCAAGACTAGATTGGGATGACTCACACTTTTTCAGCGCCTGGGTGGTTTTTGGGCTTTTTGATTTCTATATGTACCCATCTTTTACATTTTTTGGTGTGTGTTGTACCGTGTTGGTTGGGTGTTTAGGCCCACCCATACAAACCCATCTGTATCATTTTCTTTAATAAATCAACACTTAGGCTTTTTTTTTTAAAAAAAACTATTAGTTTATTTGTCAAAATTGGATAAAGTAAAAAGCACAAAAGTTGCAAATTATTGTGTTAGCTTTGCAACAATACCAAAACCATTTGATTTTGATGAGAGAAGCGAAAGTTCTGTCAAAAATAGCCAGATATTTCTTTATCTATTAAAATTTTAGTTCTAATCAAATGAACAGAATTAATCAATTCCTAGTTTTCAGTTTTAACAAAGATTCGTAACTTTTGATGCAAAATAAAGAAATTCATTAGTTCATCGTGAACAATCATTTGAGAGTAGTCAAAAACTGAAAATTCTTAAGAAAATTTAGAGCGGATATAGAATTATATAATGATTAAGGTTCACATCAAAAGAAATCAAACATATGTTAAACTTGACAAAATTTTAATCACTTGCACATATCAATCACTGAAATGAGTTAGTAAGATAACGATGATAGAATAAGCTAGTAGCTGAGCCAAACCTCCTATTACAATTATGAAGAGCTTGAAGATACCACAACAAATGACACACACAAGAACTGATGAAAAATCTATAATTTTATTTTCCTATTCAATGTTCAAATTTTTTATATGCCACAGTGTTCATATATATATTTATATATATAGTATACAAAGGATTCAAAAATAGAAATTCCTTGAGAGTTTTTCTGAGGCCTCCAAAAAACTATTAACTTTTCATCTTACAACATTCCAAATTTAAGAACCCCAGTTTGGCAAAGTTCATCTTTTACTACAATGCAAGATCGGTATATAAACTTAGTAGGAAAACTGCACAATGCGATTCCAAGTGAAATTCTCGTAGACAACTTTCATAAAAGGAAAGAAGCTTGTAGTACTACAATTACAAAGACTGACCAAAGCTATTATCCTGAAAAATGTTAATTGTAGGACAAAATATTGTTAGAAGTTATATGAGAAAATAATTTATTCCTGTTAGAAGTTACGAGGATTGGATTTATTTTCTAATATAACCTTATTTCCTTTTATATTTTTAATTTATTTTATTTCCTTTCCTATTTTATGTTGTTTCCTTTATCTCGAAATAATTATTATAAATTAATTAATTAGAGATATTAGGTGTTATATTTTTTCTTTCCTGTTATTTTCTTTTATTTATCTTTCCTTTCCTGTTATTTCCTTTCCTATTTTCTTTATAACCCCTTTTCATATCAATAAAGAAATTTCACATTATTATGAATTTCAACATGGTATCAGAGTCTTAAAACAAACCCTAGAGTCTCGTGCTGGTGGAAACTTCCTATTAACTGCAGCAGACAATTTTTGTCGTACTGCAGGCCCTTCATCTTCTCTTTCTTAGTTTTTTTTCGTTGGAATCTTCCTCTCTCCACAGGCCCTAGACACCGGAACTCCTTCCTACAACTAGTTGCAGAACCATGTCCCTATACTTTAGATGTCGGAAACTTCCTTCCCTACAAATTTCAGCCGGTGGTCTCCTTCTCTGAAGTTTCATCTCACTGCCGAATCTCTCTTTCTGTAGGAAGCATTCTGCATCTGTCCGTAGAAAAAAATTCTGTGTTGAGTAGTTCTGCCAGACCTCCTTCTGAAGCTGGACCTTTCTCTGCTTGCAGTCTCTCGGAACTTGGTTTGGATCATTTAGCCGCACCCTGCAGGAGCAGCGTCAACGCTTTTTCAATTGAATTCTCCCTGTTTCCTTGCTTGAAGCCTCCTAGATCTCAGCTGCAGCAGCCAAAACCGAGCAGGGACATCTTTGCGGACCTTTTAAATGGAAGCACAAAGCTCACAGTAATTCTCCAGTCGCCGAAATCGGTGAAGCGTTGCCAGCACTAGCGACAACATCTGCAGACATCAAGATTTGTGGAGGACCTACATGTAGTTTATTTACTTCAACCAGCAACTTGAAAGATGCGAAGGAGTGGTCAACTTCTATAAGAAAGCTATTTATAGCTGTTCTTCTTTACGGGTATTCTTGTGAGTGGAAGTGGTTCGAAGCATCAAAGCGAACTACCTTGCAATTCTTATAGTCGCGGCTCATCTCCTTTCCGACATTGTGGCTTTGACCATTTTCTTGTTCTCGATCTGGGCGGCGGGATGGGAAGCAACTCGTCAATCTTACAGATTTTACAGA